CTATGGACGAAGACACAGTGTGCAATGCGGCTGCGGACGACCCAGTGTACCAGATTCTAGTGTCGAGAGTGCTGACGGGCGACTGGCGCCCCCACAAGTCACAGGAGGTGGCCTGTCTGCGCCCGTACTTCTCGGTGAGGGACAGGTTGGCTGTGGTCAGGGGTTTGGTCACCTACACCTTTGACCAGGGCTGCGTGCGCCTTGTCATCCCCGACCCCCTCTGTCACCGGGTCGCTGTTAACCTGCAAGTGGGGCACCAGGGCCTCGACTCAATGCTCAGGCGGGCCCGGCAGTCCGTCTATTGGCCAGGCATGGAGGGTGACCTGCAGTATCATCAGTCCCAGTGTGCTGCTTGCGAGACCCACGCTCCTTCCCAGCCTCCGGAGTAGTTGGTTTGGACCCCAGCGCCAGACTATCCCTTTCAACAAGTGGTGGCCGATTTGTTCCACCTGCAGGGCCACACGTACCTAGCATATGCTGACTGACTCACAGGTTGACTGGAGATCGCCCACTTCCCCAACGAGGCCACCTCTGGAAAAATCATCGCCCGTCTGCGGGCCTACTTCGCGAGGTGGGGGGTACCTGAGCAGATCTCCACGGATGGAGGTACCAACCTTGCCAGCCTTGAGATGACAGATTTCCTCAAGTCATGGGGGGGTCGAGGTGCGCCTCTCGTCGGCCCACTTCCCCTGTAGTGGATTCCTCCCCTACAAACGCTGTTTGTCGCTGAGTAGCCGACCCCGCGAATTCCCCAGTGTATGCCTCGTGGTCTAGGTCAACCAGCGCCGCCTTACATGACGGAGGTCAACTATGAAGCCACGCCTACCTCCGCTATATAAGACGTGACCTCGTGGTGACCTATCTCTTTCGACCTACACCAACCAGCAAGCAACACCTCCTCCTCCTCCTGCCTGGCAGCCCTCGCTCCCGCCAGCGACCATGGCGACCCACAAGCTGGTCCTCCTCTGAGCACCCTCACCAACCAGCTCTCTCTACTCAACGCTTGTAACCATACTGCCTTCCCAGCACCAAGCTGCACTGTACATCCAATACAATATGTATTCAGGGAGCACATTGTGAGTTTCCTTTCTCCATCCCATCCTGAGTGTGAACCAAACATCTCGTACCCCACACCCCCAGTCCAATGGCAGGGCAGAGGCTGGGGTCAAGGTCGCCAAGAGGCTCCTCAGGGTTAATACTGGGCCCGGGGGTAGCCTGGACTGCGATAGGACATCCCAGGCCCTCCTCCAGTACCTGAACACGCCTGTGCGGGGGTGAACAAGTCGCCCGCCCAACTTGCTACCGGCCGCCAGCTCCGTGACGGCGTTCCCGTGGCCAGAAAGCACTATAAGGTGGACCAGCACTGGCGGCGGGCACTTCGTATGAGGGAGGTGCACTTGGCCGAAACCCTGGACGGGGTCCTTCTGTCGCGGGGGGAGGTGTCCCGCCAGCTGGCTCCTCTAGCCGTGGGCACGCAGGTGCGTGTGCAGGACGCAGCTACCAAGCTCTGGGACAGGACAGGCATAGTGGTGGAAGCCCGCCCTCACAGGCAGTATGCTGTCAGGTTGATTGGCAGTGGCAGGGTGTCCATCCGCAACAGACGCCACCTGCGAAACGGCGCCACGCCTGTGCCTACTACTCCGGTGGTACACCAAACTAGGCCTCCTGGCCCCCCTTCTGCAGTGACCTCCGTACCCACGCCCTAGCTCGCACCCTGGCCCCTCCCCAGTCGGGCATGGCCAGGCCCAGGAGAGGTTGCAGGCCCCCGGGCTGGTTGGCGGACTACGTGGTGTCGTGTGTGTGGTGTAAAATTAGTTTAGAGGTTATTTTGTTGTTGTTGTTTTGTTTTTCTTTGTTTCACTGGTTTTTCTTGCATTATTGTTTTTTTATGAATGCATTGTTTTCATTTTGTTAGTTAAAATGTGCAGTGTCATTTCCTTTTAACTTGAGGGGGGATGTAAGATTGTGAAATGGAGTACCATCGTACGATATGTTTTCCCATGTGAGGTGAGAGCTTGTCTGTGGCAGCGCCCGGTTGCCAGTCACCAGCTGATGCTTTAAGAATAAAGTATTCAAAGAACGTGGTTGTCATGGTTTTGGGGTGGTTTGGTGGTAGTAGGAGTGGATTATATTATATAAAGATAATAATATGTCGTATTTCTTATTTCTTACCGTAGAGTCCGATATCTTCACACTGATTACTTACAGGAGATTATGGCGTATCTACATAGAAGTTCACTCCACCACTCGACATTCCATGATTTATACTTGATAAATGATGATTTAATGAATTCATTTAATTTTCAACATCCATCTAAGTTATTGGTTATACTATGTCATAACCAATCAGTCATTACCTTTAGTAATAATAAGATAGGATCACAGATACGGGCAGATAATTGCACTTACATTTATTTGTCAAGCTTCCATACAATGATTTACAATTTGCATGGATATATGATTTACTCACGTTCACGCTGTAATAAAATGAATCTTCTAAAACAGTGAATTTTCAACTTGGGGACACATGTGGTTACTCTACTATGGGTGGGACTTAACAGAGCCTTAATTCTTCAAGTGATACATTTACTGCCAGCCTGGATTGCTTTTGTTGCAACCAGGCTTCATCACAAGAACTTCTTCCCACGGCCATAACAACAAAAAGGTACTCTTGGGTTACCACACATAGTCTCGCGTCACTGACAGTCACTGTGGACGGTTGTCGCGGCAAGTAGAACTGGTAAGCGTGACTTGAATTAACCATTAGGTGCAATAGACCAGCCTGGATTGCTTTTGTCGCAACCAGGCTTCCACACGTGATATTTCCACGGGGATAACAAACCTAGGTTAACACACTTAGTCTCGTGTCGATCACGGTCACGGTAGACGGGTGTCGTGCAGGAGAACTCTGTAAGCGTGAATTAATTAACCATTTACTGTAGGTTTGATAGGCCAGCCTGGATTGCTCTTGTCGCAACCAGGCATCCACACGTGATATTTCCACGGGGATAACAAACCTAGGTTAACACGCTTAGTCTCGTGTCGACGACGGTTCACAGGACGGAGTGCGGTGGAGGACTCTGTGTGGTGTGGTGTCCCGCCCCCCCCTTCAGGAGGGAGAGAGTCAAGACGACGTCTTAACTAACCCATGGCTCAGGGGATACTGCTTAAAATGAGGTTTTTGGGTGTGAAGCGATGAACAGTACAACACTGTTTCACTGCCCACCCCCCTAAAGGCTGGCTGACATACTGTACACTAATTGAAAAATACATGTCCCAGTTATGCCTCGCCGGGCGTCTTATCTCTGGTAAAACAAACTTTGGAGTTGGTTGCGTGGGTAAGCCTAACGCAACCCATGACAGTGGTCTATCATTCAAACCTCTCACAATGTTCTTAAGTAATCACTGTTCAATTCCTGCTGCTCAACATCGAAGGCCCGGATGCTGACCACGCTTTGTTACTGAGACAACACGATCCGACCCGCTCGCCTGTGTGAAAGATTAAAATGTTCTATGAAAACAATTCAGAAAGTGAGACACAGTAGGATGGCTAGCTTGATTCGTCATGGTAGCTGCGTAATAATAATCCTACTAGCCTTCACTTACTTAGCCACACACTGTACACTAGTCTTCGAAAACAGATATAAAATCATATCTTCATTTTAGTACTCTGTCTTAACATCTCTCTCTCTCTCTCTCTCTCCACATCATTACCCCAACTTCGTGAATAGAAAAAACAACTATAAATAAATGAACCAAGGAATTCCTTGCTCGTGATAACATTAGCCCAAAGAATCACAAGTAACCTGCAGTTCCCAGTTGATATCATTGAGGAGCCTAACAACTCGGGACAGTTTCCCCTCAAATGTGCACCTCCTATTAACGTATAATGACCATTATGTGAAAATTTCATTATTATGTATATTTTTGTAAGATCCTAAAAAAGTATTTTTATAACTTGCAATTTGCATAACGGTGGTTGTACAGCTTCATTGATATTTAAAACCTAAGACTCATTTATTTTTATTACATAAATGCAATAAAGAAGGAATGTCAATGAATTTTTTTTTCTTTTAAGCCTAATTTTCAGGCAATTTACAAAAATCGATTTTTAACAAGCATATTATGTAATAATTGTATGTATTTTTCTTACCATTAAATTATTATTCTGTAATATTATCGTTATTCTCACTATTATTTATTTCCTCATTACTTCAAATAGAATCTTTTTACTTTCAGTAATTTTCTACTTAATCTCATTACTTTAACATTGTCTCTATTGTTTATTTCGTGCTTATAAACATATTCCAGCTTCACTTGATATTTCATTTTTACCTGTACATTACTGTGTAACTATATTTTCCAAGTATCAGAATAACACGGATCTTAACTTAGTCCTTTGTGATGGAGAAGTTAGTGGAAGAAGGGAGGTAGTGTTAGCGTGCACAAGAGTTTGTTGATTAACTGGACAGTCAAAAATGTTTAGCCTAATCAGCCGAGGTAACGAGGGGCTGAAACAGCAGCCCATTCCACCACATGAGGATGATGATCTTCGACTTTTTTCCCGACTGTACAAATGTACTAGTGTCTCCACATATAAATAACGGTATTCGATAATATAACTCTAGGACAGAGTCCTGGACAAAAGCCCCTTGGAAAAACCCTCAGTTAAAAGGCAAAGCAGGACAAAAGCTTCTCAGTTAGTGCAAAATAGGTTAGGTTAGGTTAGGTCCATAAACGGTAAACTGTAAATAATAAAGAATAAAAATAATGATATAAAAAATCTTATGATTATTTGTGCTAGAGGCTTTTGTCCAGGTGGAATTTTGTCCAAGGGGGCTTTTATCCTGTAGGGCTTTTGTCCTTGGAGACTTGTGTCCAAGGTGCTTTTGTCCTGGTGGGTTTTGTCCTACACTCATAAATTACAGAACTCGATAATGGAACATAATCTTCTAAGTACAATCGACATATCGAATGCCCCGAGCAGCTGCTGTGACGCCCCACCGAGATACACGTTAAAGCGTGTGTGAGGGAGTATGGTGACGTCACAATACTGCACACGTTGCAGCGCGTCGATCACAGCCAGACTCGCCTCTCCCGCTCAACAGATATAAGACAAAACGCGCGCCTCGCTGCCTCAGTCTGAAGCCTTCCAAGGTGGCATACTAGTCTGTATCCGTGCCTCTATATGAGACAAACTCCGCAGCTATATCTGGAGAACACCCTCTCGTTTACATTTTCGCTATCAGTGGTAAGAGGTGTTGTGTATGTGGTAATAAAATAGGCCACGAAACTACTGCTTACCTTCCACTAGTTCATCTACTAACTTACTGCTGTACTATTGTGTAAATATAATTATTCAATTTTGTATATGGCGTTTAAGCTGGAAGGAATGTCCATTATTACACTTATTTAACTTTTACAGGTAATGCAACATTCAAGATCAAATCAATAAACCCATCAGCACAGTATTTACTGTAGGTCAGCTGGTGTACAGCGACTGTGACAGGAGTGACCTTGAGCGACCAGTCATCTGCCAGAGGAGTGAGTGTAGCTGACGCAATGGCTCCCAACACTTCACAGGTGAGCATGAGATGATACTAACTTACTCTACAGACGTTACACTAAACCGGGAGAATTGCCGATTAAGTTTCAAAAGGCAACTGAATTGTTATCCGAATAGGGATAACTTTTTGTAGTTATCTCTATAATTCAAGTAAATTAATATTTACATGGCAAAATTTTATCTCATTTAATGTGTCATTTGCTATCATAATATAGCAATATTATATTATTTAAGTAGATTAGGTAAAGCTAGGCTTTAAGTCAGGATTGGTTAGTATTTTTACGAGACTTTTCATTTACATGTATTTTTATGATTTATAAAATTCTACATTATCATATGGCCAGTGAAGTTGAAAAAAAGATAAATACCTAGGAGTTATTGCTAATTATCGGCAATTGTCCCTATTTACCATAACACACACACACACACATACTCGTGCATATATATATATATATATATATATATATATATATATATATATATATATATATATATATATATATATATATATATATATATATATATATATATATATATGTAAATCACTGTAGGTGCGCGTGATCTAGGTATATGCTGATAACCACAAGGAAAGAAGAAACCACGAAGTTCCCAATCGCTTTCGTGTAATTCACATCTTCAGGGGTGAGTACGTCTGTACTCACCCCTGAAGATGTGAATTACACGAAAGCGATTGGGAACTTCGTGGTTTCTTCTTTCCTTGTGGTTATCAGCATATATATATATATATATATATATATATATTATTGCTTTCAGGAGGCGCATCATACATTTGATGAGGTTAAACGGGTCACTAGCCTGATGGTAGCAGCTCAAGACAACAGTGATGAGGACCAGCTAAAGGTTACAAGACAACTAAGGATCCTCTTGACATCACCCTTCTATTTACAGTACATCAACCATGTGCTCCAGACTCTGTCTCTGTCCCGAGTTGTTAGGCTCCTCGATAATGATAACAACTGGGAACTGCAGGTTAGTTATGATTCTTTGAGCTAATGTTATCACGAGCAAGGAATTCCTTGGTTCATTTATTTAGAATTGTTTTTCTATTCACGAAGTTGAGGTAATGATGTGGAGAGAGAGAGAGAGAAATATAAAGACAGAGTACTATAATGAGGATACGACTAGTGTAAAGTGTGTGGCTAAGTAATATAAGTGAAGGCTAGTAGGATTTTACTATTACCGAGCTACCATGGAGAATTAAACTAGCCATCCTACTGTGTCTATCTTCCTAAATTGTTTTCATAGAACATTTTAATCTTCCGCATATGCATGAGATACATGGAGCATATCATTAAGAGTTAACTGATCATAAAACTAATATAAATGCGAGTACAAGGGGTACAATTGGTTAAAAGTTTATAACATTGAGGGATTGGTAACAAGCAAAATGAGAGCGTCATGTGAAAAAGTTTGGTAACCACTGATCTAGACCGTCGCCAATTAAAATTATTGAGTATTTTTGCAGCAAAGTCCTTACAAGAATTACGTACATTGCAGAATGAAGCAGCGTGGATACTTTGCAACATAGCAGCCGGCAACAGATTACATACCCAGGCTGTAGTAGATGCTGGAGCTGTGCCCATCCTTATAAGACTCCTCAGTTCCCAGTCTACTGAGGTACTCATTACGGCTGTCTGGGCCCTGGCCAATGTTGCTGGAGGCTCCCCAGCCAATGTGAACGTGATACTGGCCGAGGACATCTTCACACCTCTCTTACAGTAAGTTGCCAAGGATGTAACTGTAGTACCGAAGAAGAAAAATACTTCATAAATGTGATATAACTCTCAGTGATATTATATTGTAACTAAGAATAACTTACCATGCACTTCAGGAAGATTGATATGCGTCACCACACTTTGGGAATAACAGTGTCATGGTTTCTGAAGAACATATGTCAAGGAAAAGATCCGGTTCCCGCCTTTAGTCAACTAGTACCATGCCTGCCACTGATCTGCCGCCTCATCTTCCACACTGATGATCAAGTAGTAGACGACGCATGCGAGGCCTTCGTTTGCTTCGGTGTTGCACACACACACAGGTTCTTGGCCGCTTTACACCCTACATTCTGTTCCAGAATTGCTGATCTTCACAAGTGAGTACAATGCTGCATGTTCCATCATGTTTACATACTCAAGATAGATATCAGTACCATGAGTTCATGAGCAACAAATATGATATGGTAAACATTTTTGTTATTAAAGGAATATTTTGTTTAAATAATAAGAAGAATATCGAAAAGGTTTATGCAATTAACAGTAAAATGACCGTGAAGGGAAATGTTATGTTCATCCCATAATATTTCACTTACATAAGGAGTATCATTAAAAATTTTATACACTACAACCCTGTGATATACAGTGTTTCTGGCTTTTGCAGGTCAAAGCCTCACAGACATTCGATAGCAGAAGCTGTTAAAACGTTAGAAAAACTGGAAGGGATGAGCGATGCACACGAGAAGGTGACTACAACTCATGACTCTGCAGATAAACAGACATACAGACAAGACTCGAGTCCTCTCTCATGTAGCGCGTGTACACCAGGAACACCAAAAAATTCTTCAATAACAAAAGATTTTCAAAAACCAGCCAAAAGGAGATCAAGAAACCCATCACCTGTGGGTGTGTCTACCAGAACAACAGCAAAAATATTTAGATCATCACCTGATGTGTGCAACAAAGCTGCCTACAGACACAGAGTCATAAAAACTCGAGCCTCAGCACGTAAACTATTTAAGATTGCTCCAGATCACTCGGCAGCTAATATCTACCAGAAACAGGTGGGCACTACTGTCCAAAACATCGTTTTATGCTGTTTCAAAATCCTGTTTAATTTTTAATTATTGTGTTTGCAAATTAAATTTGTATATAGTTTTATTTATAGTAAGATCGTCTTAATTTTCCAGGCAGAAGTATTCAAGGCAGTGGAGGCTGGGGACTTGGAGAACGTGGAGGAGCTTCTACACGACACAGGACCAGCTGTCATTACAGCGCAGACTGGATGTACTCTGCTGCACGCTGCAGTAGCTAACAACCAACCACATGTGGTGCTGTTTCTCCTAAAGTTGATTAGTCCCAATATAGTTAATAAAGAGGGCCAGACTCCAGCTCACGTGGCCGCCATGAAGGGACACACTCAAGTGTTGAGGATTTTGTTGTCTGACAAGGAATTGAAACACGACAAACAAGACAACTGCTACATGACTTACAAGGAGTTGGTAATTACATGACGATCATTTAAATATATAATTCAATTAACATTAACCTATTAAAAGTTAAAGGTTTTCGGTATATAAATTTGGAACAGCAGATAATAGGAGCATTTTTTTCTGCATACTAATTCAATGGCATTATTTCAGCTTGCTGCACCATTATTTGAGGCAGTGTTGCATTGGGATGCAAATAAGATAGACGAACTGATAAAGCTTGGTGCTGACCCAGACTACCACGTTGGTCGGCTTGTGGATGGGGTGTTGGCACGGGAGCTACGTGTCACCACAGCTCGTCAGCTGGCCCACGCCTTACAACGTGATGCCATCGTCCCCATGTTTCCCCAGGTTAGTCTCTCTTATGATGCACCACACTTGACTCCCACATCAGCCATCACCCAATACCAGAAACAGCTATCAGCTCATGTTTTATGTGAATTTGTTCTTATCTCTAATGAATAAAAAAACATGTAGTATGCATTATAGGATTTTCCTGATTCTGTCTGTCACCAACTGCCAAGTCAAACCATAAAAATGCCTAAGCTATTACAACTATGAAAATATATAAATATATATATATATATATATATATATATATATATATATATATATATATATATATATATATATATATATATATATATATATATAGTATATATACAGAGTGTGTGTGTGTGTGTGTGTGTGTGAGAACCTAGGATCACCAATGGCTTGCATCATACTATATATACAGTAAATATAATTTCAGAGAAATACAGTAGATATGAAGAACAATAATTGCTGCAAAAGAAGTTATGAACTACTCATCGGTGACTCGCCACAACTTGCCAACACCAAGGTAGGTGACTAATTTAAATATTGTTCATGTTTATAGCTTACTACATTGCGGATAATAATATAATTTACTACAGATTTACATGTCTACATTTTGATAACCTTAAAAATTCACCATTTACAAGTGTGTTAAAAACAACTTCAATTAAGAACCGCATTAATTATTAAATTAAGTATGACATATATATATATATATATATATATATATATATATATATATATATATATATATATATATATATATATATATATATATATATATAATTGTTTTTTGTTTTTGTTTTTTATCTCATTCCTTGTATTTCTATATTATCAGAAACGAGTAAGGGTTTCACCACAAGTGTCGATACCAGACGTGTACAAAATGGACACAGATCCCAGGGGATATGTTTGTGTACTCAATTATAGCTCCTTCAAGGACCGACCTGACCTGGCCCTTGAGGGCTCCCACTCTGATGTCACCAACCTGACAAATGTCTTCAGCAAAATGGGGTACACTGGTCACGCATACACCTCTTTGTCAGCAGAGAAGACCAAGCAAGTGCTGACCAAAGTGAGGGACATGGAGGTGTTGGACCACGTTGGCTGTGCTGTTTTCATTATTTCCAGTCATGGCATTGGTAACGAAAAGTTCTTAACTGGTGACATGAAGCTTTTGACAACCGAATGGGTATGTGACCTCTTTAAAGATTCAGAATGTACCCGGTTGAAAAACAAACCTAAGCTGTTTATCTTCGACTTTTGTTGTGGTTTCTACCAGAACAAATCTCATCAAGTAAGCATAGGCAAGTGTAGGAGGGTGGAAGAACCTCTGCAGGATACGATGTGCCTTTACTCTAACGGTGGAGACATCATGTCTTATTCCATCAACAAGGAGGGGACTCCATTCATCACAGCCTTGTGTCGCACCCTGGCTCATCACGCTCACCACATGGAGTTTGGTGATTTGTACAGGGAGTTACTTAATGAGCACACCAAGACTTTCTCCCCTTCTACACCACATCTCCGCAACTTTAGCTTCAAGAAGAAGTTCTACTTTAGCTCTGTGTTTCATTCTGATGGAGAACAGCCACATTAAGGAGCTTTTGTTACTTGTTTAGAATTTCTTCAAGAAGTCCATCAAAACATTTCCAGCAGCTGCATAATAAACAACACTAACTCTATCACGAAGATCTGTTTCACTCGCAGAAAAAAAAACGCAGTACATCGACTGATAAAAGTATGTCGTTTGCAGTTATTGTTATGACTTACCACCAAAAACAGTACAGTATTACGCTAATGTTACAGTATATCGTTTACTTATGTGTCATAGAGCTTTTTATTACATGCATGTCATGTTCTGTTATAATAGCGGAATCATTATCTTGTCCAGGCCTGATATTTGAATGGGAAATATTAAATTACATGAAGTCTCACATGTTATGAATTTTAGTATGTTTTTAAGGATTTATCCTCGCCTGGCCACCTATTTTTACTGTTGTAAATATTATTAATATAATATAATCTAGTCACTAATGATCCTTATTTATATATATATAGTTATATAAAAGATAAAATGTAACTTTACTATAAACTTTTTTCTCCGACTTATCTTTTGATGTCCTGTATTCTTCAACATTTGTTTTGACAAGTGCCGAACCAGTCAGACTTGGAAATTAAATAATGATGTAGGGGTATCGAGAGATTAATGTTGTCTAGCACTCAGGATGGAAGGAAACTCTAATGGTGGTTTTCTTGTATAATATAAGTTATATGATAGACAGTCTGGTGCTGGAGGTGTTGCTTGTTCAGGAAGATGGGCAGAATGAGAGTTGGTTGGTGAGGAAGCTCAGAGAAGGACAGCTGGTGGGTCGCCATGCTCGCTGGCGGGAGCGAGGACCGCCAGGCAGGCGAGGAGAAGCAAAGGCTGCCAGGCAGCGGCGGAGGAGGAGGTGTTGCTTGTTGAAGAAGAATGGTCAGAATGAATCTCAATGGAGAGACAGAGCTTATATACCCAGCAGCCGCTATGAGTCATGTTGGGAAAACCGGAGAAGTCGCCGGTCTTTTGGCTCGGTTGCTAGGATACGGCGGCATTGGAATGCGGATACGCTTGGTTGCTAGGGAAGACGGTAGCAGCTGGTGGCTGTGGCTATGCAGTTATAAGCAGTTGTAGGGGAGAAGTCCACTACAAAGAGAAATTACTTAATCACTGAACCAGATTGTCAACAACTTTTTATAGTGAGGGGGATTACTACAGTACAAATCGTTTGAATAAAATGAATTTATTATTTGCAAAATAAATTTTTCGAACATAGTGATACTTAGTGAGAAGTGATAATACATATCGGTTTAGATATTGAATCTGTTGTTTAAAATATCTAATAGTATGTATGTGTTCCATTGTTCAAACACACACTCTCTCTCTCTCTTTGGTGTCATTCCGAGTCGAGTAGTTCAGATACATTAAGTCAGCTTCAAACAACTCTGATGACAAAAGACACAATAATGTAATTTTAACATTAATATGGAAAAGCTTCATTACAAATATTGCAATATGAAAGGTAGGAAATTTTTCTGAAGGAAACGTTTGGGAATGGTGAGGTACAACACAGATAAATTGGTTCAGGTTTTGAATTGATTGTTAAATGCATGAAATATTTCACCATAAATCTCTTTCTTAAGGTGGAAACTAAAAGCTATGTTTCAGGTGACACGACTGGAAATACTGTAAAAATTAAAATGAATCCTTTCTACCGAAAGGAAAATATTTGTGTCCATCGGAATTTAAGTAGTATCATGTTATATATAAATTATGCTGCCGGATCATAAAAATAATATGACAGGAAGAAAGTAAAAGCAATCTCGATTAACTCTCTCCCATCATTTGTCACACGTTAGATTTTATTTTACTTGCCACCAAACGATTTTATTCAACTTAGGGAACCTCCAGGGGTCAAATGCTTATGATTAAGGATGGTTTTTATTGTCAAACGTTTCAGTGGTAACATGATGATCATAAATTATGTACGAAACACTGCCCATCAGAGTAGTGAAGGATACAACTTAAATGTCTACTATGCGAACTGACTAATTTAAATGTCTACGACGTGAACAGTAGAAGTATGAGAAACAAAATGGATGATGTTAGGGCCTTGGTATGTATCGAAAGAATCGATATAATAGTATTCACTGAAACATGGATCAACCTAGACTCGTGTGAGTTACCTGTCGAATACCAAATTGCAGGTTACAAATTATTCCATACCGATAGGCAGATTAGGAAAGGAGGCGGAGTAGCAATCTATGTCAAGGAAAATCTGAAGTGTGAAATAAATAAGGAAATAAAAACTGAGCGGAATACAGAAACAATTTGGATAGAATTAATCGACGGTAGGGAAAAATTAATCACAGGAGTAATATATAGACCTCTCAATCTTGATAGAGTTAATGAGCGACATATCTGGGATGAAATGCGCAGGGCTTCCATACACAACAAAGTCTGTATAGTAGGCGACTTTAACTTTGGCCAAATAGATTAGATTGACCTTACGGGTAACTCAGAACAGAGGATTTTCTTGATACAATCCAGGACTGTTTCCGAAGTCAGCATATAATCGAACCTCATTAGTCATGTCGACGTAGGGAACGAACTTACAAACAGCGATCACAAAGAAATTAGATTCCAGTTAGATTTTCAGGGCAGCCATAAGGAAAATTCCACAAAAGTCCCAGATTTCAGAGGTGCAAACTTTGATAGTTTGAAGAGGCAGTTGAGAGAAGGGGCCTCATGCTTGGGGGTGAACTACTTGGACCTGACGATTGAAACCGACCTGATAACGAGATCTGAGGTTGCTGAGTTCCACGACAAATTAAATAATGAGTTACTTAATGCACAAAGGCAGAACATACCATACAAAAAATTCAGATCAAACAACAATGACCCTAAATGGATAAATAATTATTTAAAGAACGTTATTGGTCAAAGGAAGGCTATAGGTAGGAGGACAAATCGTGGCGAAATTTACCTCCAGGATTATTATAAGGTATTGGCCGGTAGGGTTAAGACCGAGATAAGGAAAGCAAAGAGGAATAACGAGCTGAGGATAACAAGGGAGGCGAAGACAAATCCCAAGGGATTCTATCAAATGTATCAAACTAAAACACGAGAAAAGATTGGGCCAATACAGTCAGATACCGGCGAGCTAACTGATAACGACGGAGAAATGAGCAATAATTTGAATAAATATTTTTCAACAGTTTTCACCACCGAAAATTTAAACCTGATACCCGAGGCACCGACTCTATTCAGAGATAGTGAAGAAAACAAATTAAGCGAGATAGTAGTGACTAGTAACGATGTTAGTAAGCAAATAAACAAACTAAAGCCTAATAAGTCACCAGGTCCAGATGAGATATTTGCCAGAGTATTAAAGGAATGTAAGGAAGAGCTTAGTATGCCCTTAGCAAAGTTGTTTAACATGTCCTTAAAAACAGGTGTAGTACCAGAATCCTGGAGAATAGCGAATGTAATACCGATTTTCAACAAGGGGAATAGATCACTATCCTCTAACTACCGTCCAATCAGTCTAACATCAATTGTAGGCAAATTACTGGAATCAATCATTTCAAACTCTATTCGAAACTACCTGGAGAAGCACAAATTGATCAATGATTCCCAGCATGGCTTCACAAGCGGGCGTTCATGTCTAACTAATCTATTAACATTCTTTTCATCAGTTTTCGAATCGGTGGACTAGGGGCACAATTATGATGTGGTATATCTCGACTTTAGCAAAGCCTTCAACAGAGTCCCCCACGAAAGACTAATAAGGAAGGTAGAAGCACATGGCATTAAAGGTAATATTCTAAAATGGATTAGGGAGTGGTTACAGGACAGGAAACAGTGAGTTAAAAATCCCATTGGAGCAACGTCACTAGTGGAGTTCCCCAAGGCTCAGTACTTGGACCATTATTATTTATTATACACATAAACGACATAGATATCGGCATAGACAGCAACATAAGTAAATTTGCTGATGACACTGAAATAGGACGTGTAATTAAATCTGACGAGGACTCCGCAAAACTACAGGAAGATCTAAAAAAAATTTTCGAATGGGCTGAAAAATGGCAGATGAAATTCAATGTGGACAAATGTAAAGTACTGAGTATAGGAGACATAAACAGGGAAACCAGATACCAGATGAACAACGATGCCATTGAGAAATACGACTGCGAGAGAGATTTAGGAGTAATGATAAGTAGGAATCTTAAGCCAATTAAACAATGTGTTTTTGCTCGTAACAAGGCTAATAAAGTACTTGGGTTCATACAAAGGAGTGTTAGTTACAAGACTAGCGAGGTCATCTTAAGATTATATCTTGCGCTTGTGAGACCTCACCTGGATTACGCAGTGCAGTTCTGGTCACCTTATTACAGAATGGATATAGAATCCTTGGAAAGAATCCAGAGGAGAATGACAAGACTAATCCCCGGCATTAGGAACCTTGAGTACAGAGACAGGTTAATAAAGCATCTTAATTTGCACTCCCTCGAGAGACGTAGAGCAAGGGGCGACATGATAGAGGTGTATAAATGGAAGTCAGGGCTAAACAAAGGGGACACTACAAAGGTACTCAAACTATCCAACCAGGAGCGAACTCGTAACAATGGTTTTAAATTAGACAAATTTAGATTTAGGCGCGAAATTGGTAAACACTGGTTTGGAAACAGGGTAGTGGATGAATGGAACAAGTTACCAAATATCATCATTAACTGGAATACGCTGGATAGCTTCAAACATAGGTTGGATGCTTATATGAGCAATAGGGGTTTGGTGTAAATGGGACTGCCCAGTATAGGCCAATAGGCCCGCTGCAGTTTCCTCCATTTTTATGTTCTTATGTTCTCTGTTGTCATGTACAGGTCAGACCGACACATACCAGCGACCCTCTTTAGAGATAACCTGATCAAACTCAATTATTTTGATGTGTTACTTATAAGGGTGATTTGTATATATTTTCTTAGTGATTTCGCCACTAGCTGTTCGGGTGGTCAGTCAGTTCTCTGTCACATACTATTAGAAAGTACAGGCCATGTCCGGGGTTTCTTATGCATTGCTGGGAAGTTTTGGTCATTTACGAGCTCTATGTTATTCACTGTTGATATATACTGGACGTATATTGGCCTTTGAATGCACAGTAAAAAATAATAACTTTACTCTTGCCCAGCCTAACAATCTGAAACATCGAGCGAAGGCTTAAAATGGATTTCTTTTGTTACATTATCGTTGTTTATTGGTAAGCCTGTTCTTCTTACTTTACTTTAATCTTTTGGCCATTGACTGGCTCGTTAGTCGTTTGCTCTTCCAGTTTCACTGAACTTGTGGCTTCTTCAATCATAAGTCGTGACCCTAGTGGGGCGAGTATCCGTGAGCTCTACATCACTTTTAGTTAGTTTATTTAAATATTTACAAAATTAATGTACCTTTATTGCTCATTTTATTCTTGTTATATTTGTTGTACTGTCATTATTATTACCATAGTGTACTAATTATCATAGTTTTTGGCCGGTACCTTATATGCCCAG